CCTTGGTGATTCCATGTTGACTATTCCTGCTAACCTTCTTTTCCTCCCCATGCATAGAGATGACATCCAGAATGGGGTGTTCCATCACTTTTCCAGGGATGGAGGTGAGGATAAGTGGCCTGTAGTTCCCTGGGTCCTTCTTCTTGCCTTTTGAAAACTGGAGTGACATTGGCTTTCCTCCAGTCCTCAGGCACCTCTCCTGTTCTCCATGACCTTTCGAAGATGATGGAGAGTGGCTTAGCATTAACATCTGCAGCTCCCTCAGCATTTGTGGGTGCATCCTGTCAGGGCTCATGGATTTGTGGGTGTCCAGTTTGCCTAAATGATCTCTAACCTGATCCTCCTCCACCGAGGGAAAGTCTTCCTTTCTCCAGCCTTCCTCTCTTACCTCCAGGGTCTGGGACTCCTGAGGGAGACTTTACAGCTTTAGCTGTAAAGACTGAAGTAAAGAAGGAGTTCAGTAACTCCACCTTCTCTATTATCCTCTGTCACCAGGGCACCCACCTCATTCAACAGAGGGCCCACATTTTCCCTAGTCTTCCTTTTGTTGCTAGCTTTACGAAGATCTTGTATATCCTCCTAAGTTATGACCACTGAAGCATCAAAGGCAGAGAAAAGGTTTCACAAAATGCATCTGCAAGGTTTCCTTCTCTGAGGAACTGAGAGAAATTGTTGAGGACTACAGCTGGTAGTCTAGATCACGTATCAGTGCGCTATCAGACTGAGTGTGGGGAAAGGCAAGGCATCAGCAAGGCAGTATAAAGTATGTAACACAAAACAATGTGCTTTAAAATTACACCCTTCTCCACTACTTTCCTGTGTTATAATTTACACCTGCAGGGGCCTCTGAATTCAGGTCCTCATCCCTTAACTCCTGCAGAGCCTCTGCTTAGGGTTTGAAAGACATTTACAACTCCAGCACTAAGTCCCAGGGCGTCCAGCCAACTAGGGGGAGGAGAGGTCTTTTCAATGCCCCATACTCACCACTCCTAACAGTGTAACGCCTAAAGCTTTCTGTAAAAGCTCAATAAGTTCACCTCTCGACAAGGGAAGTGTCTGTTACTTCCAAAACGTCTCCCACTCAACTCAGTGAAAGGGCAGACGATCTACTCGCATTTTTAAAAGTGCGGCAGATCACACACAGAAAAAAACAATCCCAGCCTTGCTCTAACGCCCACTGAAATCAGAAGAGCAAGCGCTCCCAAATTTCCAATGACTTCCAAGGATCTGAGATCAGGCCCCGCATGAGAGTGCTCAAGCAGCGAGCAGCAGCCCTGCGTTAGGAAAGCTGCAAGTTAAACCCTGCACTGTGCTGCATCAGGTCATTCTAGCAGAGACCAACAGCTGGGACTACATGTCCTGTTCATTCCCATCAGCAGTAGCATATCAGACATCCAAATACCTCCAGTTTATCCGTACGCATCAGTTTCTGCCCAGCAGAGCCTCCTGGTACTGTAACAGTAGGATTTCCAGAAACCAGAACAGGAGTATTTGGTAAAAGCTCTGCAGGAACCAAGCCCATCCCAGGAGATACATGACTCAGGTAGGGACTAAAAGCCATCGTGGGGCTTGTTGCAAGCGATGGAGTCACAGGAAATGTTGTCTGTGAACAGAAAGAGGAAAAAAAATATTAGTTAAAAAGCTCTGTCTCGGATTACCTATCAAAGCCTAGCATCACTTCAATCCTTTTAGACAAATTGATTAGCAGCATCAAAATGCTGTGCTCTCCAATATATTCATTTATTGCCGTTTACTTGCGATCCATTCGCTTCTCCTGACTCACAGATTTGTGACTCATCCTCAACACAAGGCATCTTTATTTGTCAGATCAAAGCATATTTATGATCTTTATAGTTTAATGACACAATTAAGGATTTCATGCCAGCAATTAGGGCAGGCCCAAATTAAACAGACTTCTCATTCCCAAATAAATGTCTCAGCTTCTGTATATCTACACCACAATGCTGTACAGAGATCCCAAAGTAAAGTGCAGCTTCAGGACCTGGAAGCAGGTAACCCCATTAGCTACATGGTTGAATTCACTATCAGCCTGCATTGAGCTCCATGTTAAGATGGCTGGTGTGGCTCAGGTAGACAAAATGGATCATTTAGATTCAGGCAAGGCATCTCTGCTATGGTACACTTGGAAGCCTAGCATTCTGTACATCTGGGGTTTGTTTCAGACTGTCAACAGCTGCCAGGCAAAAGCCATTTTGCAGGAGTATCCCAAGCCTACAATCTACGTGAATGGCAGCAAGAGGAGACCAAACTCACTAGCATCACAATATGCCAGACCTGACAGCTTTGGCAAGAGCAGGTGGGTCATGGGCTTGCAAGAGCCACGGACAGAGTATATTAGATGAGATGGCTCAGGTGGACCAGTACAAGGTCCAGGACCCAACCTTGGCTGCAAGGAGCAATGATCCCATGAGGGGACAGAACAATGTGCCATAAAGACCTTGACTACTTCAGATCTCTAAATCGCATTAGGTAGGTCCTCCGAGTGCAGCAGAGCTTCAGCACCAGTGGCCAGAGCCACTTCCATGGCCTGAACTGCTCCAGCAGTGCTGGTCTGGGAAAGTAGCTGCTGTTCTGTCAGAGAGGCAAGATCACCAAAGCTCCTAAGCAGGTGCTCAGTGTGAAGTCTGTGAATAGCCCCTACAGCCAGGGAGTTTGTGAGACTTTAAAGCACCAGATCGAAGGTGTGTTTGGGAATGAAAGCAGTTCCAGCTGATGAAGAATCCCCCCTGCCCACCCCAAAGACCAGAGCCTGCAAGGCAGCACTCCTGCTCCTGTGCCAGGGGCTCAAGCATCCCCTATGGGAAACAGCCTGCAATCATTTTTATTTTCACTTCTGTCACCTCTGGGTTACAGTTAAAGTTGCTCACGTTTGCTGGCGTATGTGATACCATACTCAGCAGCTACAGCCACCACTTGGCAATAAATACAACTGTGCTTACAAAATCACCTGGAGCCTTTTTGTGGCCACACAGAGCATCCCCTCCTTGATTTTACTTTGGTACTTCTAGTCCTGTGGGCTTCTAAAAGAAACCACACATGGACAGCAGTTTTCTCAACAGCATCTTCATCTCAGTACTTTCATACACTAGGAAACACCTTGGTTGTTGCGATCTGGAAGAAGCTAGCCCACAGTAATGCCAGCCAAGCTGTCCTAACCTATCTGTAGCTTAATGATACCCCCTTCCTAAGGTCAGAATGACAGCAAGCAGCTCCTGAGCTGATGGGAAGGGGGGTGACAGGTCGGTGCCAGCATACGTCCTGCCTTCTCCTCCTCAACGAGGAGACACGGCCTCCTGAATCAGCAGTACTGGGTGCTTTAAGTGTAGCAGAACTAAATAATCCTCTCTCTGGAAGAGATTTCCAATTTTGCTTCTTTTGAGCCTGAGTCAAGCCCTGCTTCACCTGATGGGAGACTTTAACCATTAAACTCAGAGATCCTCCAGTCCATGGCCCTTATTAAATAATTTTCTTCTCTCTCTCAATTCGCTGTGGTTCCCAGACATTTTACACCTTTTGCTGCTAGAAAAGTTCTTTAAGGATCTTCAAACACTGTGACTCCCTGAACACTTTAGTGAGAAGGCAGTATCCATTAGACTGTTTTCTTTTGTGTGATTACCACTAATTAGAGTGGCATCTACCGAACTTCTGTCACCATCCGCACTGTAAATGCTATTTTAAAGAGCTTCTCCAGCCTGGCCAGTCTGCATGCGGTTATGCTGGAGCCTGACATGTTGTCAGCACTTGTTTTATGTACCTGTAGTAGCCCAAACCTTGCAGCACATCTGGCTTGCACAAATGTATGGACAAATTTACCCTATGTTTTTCTGGCACCTAATACAGCAGGAGTCCTGGATATCCTGAGAGAGCAGGTGTGGCACAGACATTGCTCCAAAATTACAGGAGATCCTTTAAGGCAGGCTTTCCCTGCCTGGACTCGTACACAACCAGAAGCCAGCCCAAGGACCTAGCTGGTTTCTGAGACTGAGGGCAGACGTTCCTCCCACTGCTCAAGCAGAGGATAGCAGGGCATTTGTACAGCCAGGGAGGAAGGGTTTGGGCTTGCAATGCCTCATACTGAGTGAATTCATCAGAAACCAGAGGGAAGGGTGTGAACCATTCACAAAGAGATGATATACCAGACTCTCCACCAAAGCCACTACAAAGTGGAAGGCAGGTCCTGCTCCCTGAAACACAGTCCCCATCTCCAAGGCCATTCCTCAAAAGCAGCTCCTCTCCTCACTGGGAGCAATTAGCAAGGGCTAACAGATCCAAACCCAAGTTGAAGCAAGCAGAGGAAAGATGTCCATGAGCAACAGTTGAGAAGTATGATCTACTCGCAATTCTGGAGAGCTGCAGAGGTCTGCATGAAGGAGCAGGATGGATTTTTATTGCTGTAGCTGGTTGTTGACCCATTTCCATGCCCCGGCATCTGCTGCCACATTCCCAAGGTTTTACAACCACTTCTTCTGCCCGCCTGAACCATGCATCTGGGGCCGCTGATTGAAAGCGACAGCTCTGCTCCACATCCTGCCCGCAGGCAGGGTACTGACACTCGGCAGCCACGCAGGTTTTTTCAGCGGATGCACAGTCAGAGAACGAGCAGACCTCACTCAACACATTAAACCTAGAAGCGTTGGGGTTTTAAGTCTGAAGTGTGCTAAGCATGCTAAAAACTGCTCCTTTGTAAGCTGGCATCAGGGAGCTCTGTATTTATTGTGGTTGATGAGGGGAAAAGATGGGCTGCGCTCATTGCCAGCCCCAACTGCCTGTCTTGGATTGGGAAATCCAGTCTGGCTCATGCATCAGTACCAGTAATAAAGATGCTGCCAGCCAAATGTCTCCTCCCTTTACGTCTGTGCAGGTCCCCCATGCCAGGCCTGTCCTGAGGGAATTGAAGTGAGTTTCTTCCTTGCAGTCAGAACCTGACTGTAATTTTTACTCCAAACAGCACTGCTTTCCTCAACATGCCTCCCATTCACCTCTTGTAATTGCACCCAACCGGGAGACCTGACAGATCGATATTGTAACTGCACACTAAAAAAAAAAGTCTCAACTTAGTTGCTGGTATGCTGTAAGGCAAAACAGAGGGATTGAAAGTATCACCACTTACCCCTGCTGCCCCCCTTAAAGCTCTTGCAAATTCAGGAAATACAGGGGCAGGTTTCCTTGCAAACCAACTTTTTTTAACCGTAGCATATGCAGACACTACCAGTAACTCCTGAGCAGAGGGAAACAGGTTACAGTGCAGTGGCAGAGGGGTTCAGACTGTTAGCCACTCACAAGACTGATTTACTGAGTATTAGAATGCTTGTAAGAAAAAAAAAATTAAAAAAATATGCTGAAATGGCTTGTGAGAACACATCTCAGGGGGAGGGCTGCCAAGGACTTCGAAAGCTCTGAGCTCCTCACAGATCCCAAGCACAGGGGCTGTCAGGTTGAAGGTGTGAGCAGAGAGAAGGGATCATCCAGGGAGGGGCATTTGTCACCACCAGTGGTGACAGAACCTGGAACAGCTGATTTTGTTAACAAACTAGAAGTTGCATTCAATTTGCCTAGTGGAAATTGTGCTAAAGCTAGAGAAGAAACACAGAGTGGGTGTGAAGAGGAAGGCAGAGGAGCGGCTGGTGTTTTGTCAAATACAAGCGCTGCCTCAGTTGGGAAGTGTTGATTCTGAGTTACTTCAGACCCTAAAAAGGGAAAGCCTGAAAATGAAAGACCCAGTATAAATACAGAGGTGTTGATGGCCTGAAGGAGGGGAGACAGGTCACTGCTAAGCAGCTACACATGGAAAGCACACAAAAAACCAGTGGCAGCTCTTATTACCATCTGGTGATAGAAATGTAGAAGATAAAGATCTTGTACTGACAAGGCTGAAGACCCTGATATTGAAAACATAATTGATACTGTTCAGAAAAAGCAAAACACTCTGTTCCCCTCCAATGCAACTGCATGGGGCTTGCTGTAAAACCATCTCTCTAATGTGAAGGCTGAGCATGCTGGAGCGAATCCAACCAGCCAAAGCATCCAGCTACCTACCACCACAGATGCTCGTTTCCCCAATCAGACCACAAAGGCACACTCCTAGCTCAAAGGATCTCTCATTTGTGGGCTGCCATAGTGTAAAAGTCAAGTGTTAATGCCCCACAGCACTGTCTCTTGGCAGACACCAGCTCCCGGGTGGGCACTGGTACGTGTGTTTATTCATTCCTAGCATGCCTTTGTCTAGAGGCTGAGATAGAGATCACGTTTTTGCTGCACGGAACAAATGCATGCCCAAAACACCTGCTGAAATCTGCTCCAGCACTTGTTTCAAGCATCACTGGCCAAGCGAGTTGCTCACCCTACACTTTAATCCCTCCATCAGCACCAAGGTGTAGCAGCAGGGTCCTGCTGCCCCAGGAGGGGTGGGTTAAAGTCGGGCTGTCTTCAGGGGCATGGGTGACTCAGAGTTGTCAAGATAGTCCTGGCTACAAAGACCTTGACAGGAAGAAAAGATGAAGAGCTTGAAAACAAAGAGAGAGGAAACAACTTCTCAGGGTAGCAGTAGAGGCAGCTGCAGGGCAGGAGCAGAGGCAGCTGTGTCAATGCTGCTGTGCTCTATCCATCTGCCTGTCAGACACAGCTAACAGGGCAGCACCATGCAAGCCGCTGCCCTCCTCCACCAGGTCAATTCAGAGCCTGTGCTGAAGCACTTCCGTGGCCAGCTCCAAAAGTCTGTCTCGCACCGCTGCAAAGGGATAAAGCAGAATGGAGAGGGTGGGGATCAGGTCCAGGGTGCAGCACTTTTTGGGTGGTCTTGCTTTGGCACACACACAGCTCAAAGTAACCATATCTGAGAAACCAGATATAGCATTGACCAAAATGGCTCTCCATATCTATGCCAAAGCCCAGCTCTATCCACCTTCAACCTGATTTTTGCACAGTCTAACTGAGACAGAGGCAAAATCAGCCCAGAGAGCTTCCAGCACAGCTCAACCAGAGCCAACTGTAAAGGTGAATTTGGACTTTCAAAAGTCAAAACTTTACTAGAGTCTTCCTACTTGGCACCTATGTGGTCTCTCCCAGACAAATACACCGTGCAGAGCAAATACTCTGCTCCGTGTCCTTGCCCGACTCGTTTTAAAGTGCTGCATGAAGCAGTCTGTTTATAACTGCATCACGGGCACCAAACATCCATGTGATTCTCAGCTTTGCACAAATGGTTAGCAGCAATATCAGAGAGCAACCAGAGACTTCAGAGAAGTAAGCTCACGCTAGCAACCATTAATTCACACCTAGTAGGCTTCCATGAGCAGCATGCAGCACAGGCAGCCCACCCGGGACACAGCTCTTCTCCGAGCAGCACTTTCATTAAACAGCCATCATCAGGGTCCTGGCTCTTGGTTCAACAAGAAGATTAGCTCTTGCTGGATGTCAGTGGTGGTGCAAGAAGATCTGGCGGTGAATGTTTAGATGCAAGCTCATAGACACATTCAATGGTATTTCAGGAGGAAGCATAGTGAAAAGCTGCTATGTCAAGTACTGTTTTGTTTTGGTTTTTTTTCCTGGTTTTTTTTTATTTTTTTGGTTGGTGGGTGGGTTTTTTTGCTGTTTTTTTCATTTGTTTGGTTTTTTTATGCAGTAGCTTTTTTGGTGAAAATGCACTTTAAGATGTCTAACCATTCAGCTATTGTTTGGAGCTATTAAGCACACTGTTCAAATCTCATCTCTGGCAAGCATCCCAATTAAGCAGGCATCCCGTTGATCAGCTTTCTGATCGCATGGGATTTGATCTGCTGCTGCACCTGATATAATACTTTCTGCTTTGAAGAATTTCATGCGTAGCCAGAAGGACGCCCCACCCTTCTTATTTAGAGAGAAAAAAAAATTGTAAGAGCCTGCTTCCACTGGCAGCATCTTTCGGAAATCAAAGGCAGTTGAAAGAGCAATCTCTTGTTTGTCCCGAAATTGGTGTGGAGCAAGTCGGGCAGCAGAAATTAGACCGAGAGCTCATTTACTCTGAGCAAAGTGTGGGAAAGCAGGAAGGGAGCAGTCACTGCAGAACAAATTTTTATTTTTCTTCTTTGCCCATGTCTCCCTTATGGCACAATTTAGAAACCTGGGACCTTTCTCATCAGATAAGGTTACCTCTGAAATGAGAGCACTAACCAGACAAACCGACAGATTCGGTCTCAGAGGCAATTTAAAAGGCAGGAATGAAACTGCAGGAGTGAACTGGACCTGCAAGATTGCAAAATGAGAAGATGGGAACTTTCCAAAGAGGAAATCCCAAAGATGTTTTGAATAGCCAGCCAAAGAGTGTCCACTGTGAATTCCCCAGAGGAAAACCCCAAACAGGAAAGGTTTGCTTTTGGCACAGGGCTAGGAAACCAGCGCTACCATTCTGTGGGAATTCAGGATTTCCTTCTGATGTGCATGTACTTTCAAACTCCACAAAATGAGGTGCAGATTAGAGCTTAAGGCACAGAGCAACTGAAGACTTCTTCCTTGGCCCATTTTCTCCTCTGCCTCACCTTTCCATTTTCAAAACGGGAAGAATAAACAGCATTTTCCTGGCTTACACAGCAGGGTGAAGATAAAGCTGCTAACACAGACAGGGTGACCAGAGTGAGGGCAAACTTGGAAAAGCCTTCACAAGACAGGAAGAACACGCCAGACTGGGGAAATGCCCCAGTATGGTGGCAGAGCACCATCATGAATGGACACCGGTCAGCTTTCCCCATTGAAACACAGCTCCATCACAAGCTCTTACACCAAAGAGCACAACAGCCTCCAACAAGGAGGAACCCTTCATGAGTCCCTTGTGAGAATAAACCAGACATACCTGAGCTTTTCAAAGGTGGGGTGACCAATGCTGAGTCTGAAGCCCCATTTGGGCAGAGAAGCCTGGCACCGTAGATGGGACAGCAGAAGGCCAAGTGCAGGCTGGTTCACAGGCTTGTACACCTTCAGCCTAGAAGAGTTTCTCCTAGGGATCCAGACAGACCCCTGCGTGGCACAGCACAAGGAACCTCACCCAACAAATGCATGTCAAGTGCACGTTGCCCCAGGAAAGACATGCAGCCCCAACTTTAAATTGAGAACTTCTAATTAAGCTCTTGGTTAAAAATGTGCAGTTTATGTCAGCACCGAAGAGCTGCTTCAAGACCTCTGACATTTCTTAAAACATACATAGTGACAGATTCAAACTCAGCTGACAAATGTCACTCCTCTGCCGCAGGCACACCAACCATCAGACATAAGCCATCCTCTCCCTGGTGTAACAGGGTTCTCCCAGCCTGAAAACATGTTTTAACTGATAGGCAAAAGCAAGGATAGGTAGTGAAGGCTTCCCCGAACTACCTGCTCTGCAACCACTCATCTCCCACAGGCTTCCCTCCCTACCTGAAGAGAAGCAAATCTTTCCTGCTGCTAGTATAAAACAGCATTACTGTGAAAAACAAGTGACAGGGCTTTGATGTTAGTACAATTCTCTGCTGGGACAACTGCAAGGAAATGGGTCTCACTCCCGACATAAAAAAGTATTATGGTCTGGGTAGAATTCACCTTCCCCAATTTTAGTCCACCAGTACAATGCATCTAGTCCAAAGGAGTCAGTCAGCCTCTTGCCATGGTGTGGAAGAACTCCAGCATCCTCATCCCAGTGTAAAACAGCTATCTGAAATAGCATCCATTGGAACTGAGCCACTCCAGACTTCTGGGATGCACATAAATTTAACTGGTCAAATATCCACCTGGTAATAAGACCCTTCCTCTTGATGCCCTGAATCTCTGCATCTTCTTAGTCATCAGAGGAAAGGAGAGCCACAGCTTGCAAGAAGATGCAGAGGTAGCATCAGACATCCCTCTGGAAGTTCCTGCCCAACTCTGTGCAGCATAGACAACTGCCTGAGCTCAAGCACAGGTCTGGGGCCTCTGTGAGCAAACAGAAAAGAAACGTGGAGCAACATGAACCTGATTCATTGCTGTAACTTACAATCGGCTGTAGTTGCGCGCCTGGGAGCATGAACTGCATTTGCTGAGCAAACATGGCTGCGGCCGTCTTCTGCTGGATCAGGTTGTTGCGTCCATTTATTTCAAGTTGTGTTTTTAAATGTGGGGGAGGGTGGAGATATTTGCAGTTCTCTCGGGTACACCGGCCCTAAAAAACATAATGAAACAGCATTTCAGTGAATGTAACACTCAGGGCAATCGGAGAAATTTAATTAAGGATTGTTTGGGTTACTGTAACAACACAATCATCTAGGCAGAGACAGTTTGGTAGCTACTGTGCCTCTTTTGTGATTCTTCTATAGCAGTGCAATACTTAGGTGAAGAGAAGAGCACGATGACTTCTCCTGCAGTATCACTGACTCAGTACTATCAAGCTAAACCCAAAGGTTAGGCTTCCTGATGTTAAAATGGTTGTTGGAAAAAAACAAAAAGAAACAAAACCTAACATGAATACCAGTATTTTCAGAACCTAAGGGCAACAGTTGCAGAAACAACAACAAGAAAATCCCCATTTTCTTGTGTGTGTTGTTTTTCCCCTCCCTCCCAACACCAGACCATTCAACTGGCCCTGACAACCAGACAACAAGAAACAAAACTGTCTTCACCACTTCCCCAGCTGTGCTGGCTAAAACATCAAGAGGACAGCTCTGTAAAGCTGCACGTCTGATCTTCAACATGCGTGTACCCCGAGATGCTGAGAACTGGTAGTTACAGGAGGAAGAACCGAAACAATTTCCCCCTTCATGCTTTCATTTGTCAAAAGCCACAGTATGTTGCATCACTGACTACTTCCCCACCCAGGTAAACACAAGCACTGGGGAAGCCAGTGGCTCCTAAAAAGCAAAGGATCACTAATGTTACAAATCACCTCAAATCAATTGAGACCATCACTTTTAAAAAACATCTATAAACTGTGCCTTGCTTTAACAGTGTTTGCAAGTAGACATAGGAAGAAAAATACCACTAGTCCACTGAACACACAAAACTAGTAACAGATTTTGTCATTAAGATGAAATAAGTCCTGAAAAATAGGTTTTCCCCTCCTCTTACCCTGTGTATTCCTTCCTCAAGAAATAGAGGCATACAGAACACAAGAAACATTTTATGCAATGTTATGCTTAAGTTTTGTAAATAACTTTTATGCAAAAATGGTGAAGCTTTTTGAGGAAGTAATTCTTTGGAGCTGTTCAGAGCCTATTAAATTAAAGCCAGACCTGGGGGCCACAGGGCTGTTACATGACAGATAACTAATAATCGTTCCTGCAGCCAGCAAAAGAGCAGAACCATCCATTACCCAGCCTGTGCCAGGCACGCTTGTCAAGGACTGGACATTGAGTTCTCAGCCTCAATATAATTAACTTTTCTTTCAAAAAGGGGCACACCGGGTGACCTCACATACCTGCTCCCGTTAGCAGATCACACATTGCAGAGCTGTAAGCCCATAACCAGGTCCACATGGGTACACTCGTTATGCACCACTGCACCCAGGGCTCAGAACGGTGGAAACCCCCTGGGATGAGCCCCTGCCTGCATCCAGGATGTTCCCCTGGGGATTTTTAAGACTTGTACAAACATACAGCTGGGATCACTGGACAGTCCGAGTATCACTGCGTAAAGGCAACACTATGACCCACTGCAGGGGCTGGTTTTGAGCCCCCAGCCAGGCTTCTCGGCATGCCGGGGAAGGGGTAGGTCATTGTAGAGTAGCTTGAGCCTTGCAAGCTTTAGGTGTGCTTTCCTCTGCCCCCATTCCTGGGGGGGATAAGGGCTTTGGTGGGGAGAGGGATGCAGAGCATGACTGCAGTGTGAAAGGGGCTGTGTGATAGAGTATCATGAGAAACAGGTTCCTCTCTTACCTGCTCCAATCAAAGTAGATCTCCAAAGAGATCAGAGTTAAAACTCCTGGCTCCCCGTTGTTATTTAGAGGCAAATAATTAAATGCAAGAAGTGATGGACTAAACCCATCAGGGACAGAAAAAAAAAAAACCACACTCCCAAACTTCAGCAGCCTGCCTTTGCAGAATGAAACTCTCTGTCCTGCTCCCAGAGGAGCCCAGTGGTTCCCGACAACCCAACTCAAAAAGAGGGTTTTTTTTTAATGCTATTGTTTTGGCTTCTCAGCAATCCAACAGCCTCCGATCCCCAGCAGCAAGTTAACTGCCCACAGGCCCTGAGGACATGAACCAGATACTTTCTTACATCTGTGTAAAGTGAGGGTAAAATGGCACCACGCAGCTGGCTGGTGCTCAGACAACCAAGTAGTACTACAAGGTAAATAACTGCATTAATCTGGAAGGAGAAGAAGACTCATCAGCACTAGGTAGGTTTGGGTCATCCTTCTCATGGCATCTTTCCAGCTGCATAGGACCAGGTCCCACCAACAGCCCTTCCCATCACCTGGGACTCAACAAGAGTCCAGCATTCGGGCTCAGAGCATACCTGCAGTGTCCCACCTCCACAACTTCTGCAGGGCTGCTCAGGTTGCTGCAGATCAGGAGCAGACCCAGGAGCAGAGCAGTAGACTGCCGATGGCCAGGCAGCTGCTCTATTCTAAGCTCCAGCCTTCACGGGCTTAAACATCAGCCTTAGAAATTCCTCCTGGTTGAAACTTGGCACAAGCGCTTTGGGTTGGGAAAACACTAATTTCTACCAAATTTGGAATAAATCTCTGTAGATGTTTCTACACTGCAGGAATGGAGAAGATGAAAAAAAGAGCTACTACTTTTTGTAAACAATGCTTACAGGGCCTTCTTCAACTTGAAAAGGACTTTGCTATTCCAACTGAAATTTTGCATGTCATTGATACCATCCATCCCAGCTTGGTGTGAAGCTTTGTTCTACTTTTTTCTCAAAACAGAGTTTGTTTAATTCCAACAGGGGGTTCTACAAACATAACATTTTTACTACCAAGAAAAAAAACCCTCATACAGCACAAGGCCTTGATCTTGCAGAGCTGTGAGCAGAAACCAGTGCCCACACAGAGTGTTACTGGTTTCAATGAGGACATGTATTTCCGAAGAACTGAGAGCAGTGCAGATACTGCTGCAGAGCAAAGGTTGTGAAGTACAGAATGGCTATCAGTCAGGCCTTCTAGGGCTCCAGGAAGACTAAATGAATCACCGTTGCACTCGGATTCAAAACCACACCTTCAGTCTGGCTCCTCCTCACCATCATTTTGATCCTGAGCATCATCAACCAGTACGTTTCACCAGGACAAGTTAGAAGCCACAGCTGAGTTGGGTTGCCCTCTCCAACACCACAGTAGGTTCTTCATCCCTCAAGACAATGAATTTTAGGAACTGATGATGTGACTGAGACACAAAATGTTCCCAGTTTAGACATCCAGCTATGAAACAACTTTCAAGATGTCTTGCGCTAAAGGGATGGGCGCCTCTAGTATCCTCTGAACTCCAACGCTGGTAGGGGTGATCCCTTCTTCTACACTTCCATCATAACGCCCACAGTTCTCAGTACTTCTCAGCAACGCATGCACTCTTCAAGACCAATTTCAGCTCCATGGAAGCCGCCAGAAGGGCAAAGGAACTGCCAATACTCACTTCTCAGTACCAGCTGCAACACAGCAGAGAAAAACAACAGGGAACTGGTAGCAAATCTGCCGTGTGGATACCGGGCTGGGGACAAATAAGGACAAATCCATTTTGTAGTCCTGGTTCACTCAGGTATAATATTAGAAAATACAACAGGCGTCAGGCCCCTAAGTTTCAGATGAGCATCTTTATGCTAAAAGGCACAGTTTTGCTGCAGTGACTAGCTGTGGCTCCAGCACATCAAATGCTTGGCACGGAGCACAGGACAGGCCCAGTGCCCTGCACAGAGACCTGCTGAGGCACCATCCAAGTTGAGCGTTGCACCAAAAAGCACCATCCTAGCACCTGGAGTGGGTCTCTGCATGTGTTGGGAAGGGGTATGGTGCTCAGAGACTGACCTGTGACAGCAAGTAGCATGCTGAGCCTGCTGGGACCAGTGCAGCCATCCTGTTTTAACTGGAGAAGTTTGTTGCTGTTAATTTAGCATGAGTATTGACTCCAGGGAAGGCTCATTCCCACCCTGTCCCGGGTGGCATGCAAGTCCGCAGACAGGGAATCACCACCCAGCAACAGACTCTGCTGCTGGCCTTGGTAACATGCTAAATATAGCTATATTTTCTGGCTCCTTGTAAAATGGAGGAAGTCTAAAGGACCATATTCATCAGCTTCTTTGCCAACTACAGCCAGGAGGGAAAAGCATATGGACTACACTTCCCAAGGCTTGAAAAATGGATATTAAAAATAAATCATTAAAATATTTTATAAGAGTATCTTCTCCCCCTTTCTTCCCACACACTCCCCCACCCTTACAGTAGGCTGCTGGCATGTGATTGACTCTGTGTTGCCAACTTAAGTCATGCTGTGACGGCACATACTGTAAATGGCTGGCATCTGACACTAGCTAAGATGACAGCAGCTTGCAGTGCAACAAAGCCAGCTGTTTTGAGTGCAGCACTGATAGCAGCACACTTAAATCCAGCAGAAAAACCCTGCATTACACCTGGCTGTTTGGAGTTTGCTGGGCTGCACCTCGTCATCTGCATCCTAGCTTCGAGGGACACAAGTGAGAGCACACTGCTGGGTACTGCATCAGGCTGGATGAAGCTACCCTAAGCACGCTGCACAAATTCTCTTCTCGCTGGCTGCTGAAACGAGCTGAACTGTGCTGCAGAAACAAGGCTTCCAGCACAAACCCAAGGCTTGCTCACATTTGCACCAGTAATGCGCACCAGTAATGCAGTTTGTTATGGTCTCTTTAACCCTGGACGCCAGCAAGGGGTTCCAGAACAGACACATTTCTGGTTTTAATGACTGCACTATGTGTTCCGTCAATCACCAGCAGTTCTCACGTGAAAATCTTTACGCTAATGTTGCTTTTCACACACTGGAGGCTGCAGTAGGCTTATGCCCTGACTGTGCTGTCTTTTCCACAAACACTGATGACATGTGCAATGACTGACAGCAAAAAGAATGCAAAGAGACCAGGCAGGAAAGGATTTCCATGTTTTGCACAAAACCAGGCACCAAAACACAGCTTGTCTACGTAACTTTTCCCCGCATGAAGCAGCAGATTTCCACCCCTCCAAGAGGAACTCAGTGG